CTCCACGAGCACCTCCCGCCCCTTCCGCAATCTCACCCGCCCCCCCCACACCTGAGGTTAAGGGCTCCCTTACCTTCCATCCTACCACACGGACCTCGAAGACAAAAAGCCGTGACCGTACAGACACAAAACGCTTTACGACGCGCACGCTTACTTGTAGCCTCTCCCGACGGACTTGAGGCAGTCCAGGAACTGCGGCACTTCGTAGTTCACCAGGGTTTTGAGCTGGCCGTCGCCGACGCCGTCCCGGTACACGATGATCCGGCTGGGCATGTACTGGTTACAGCTGTTCCAAGCCCTCAGGGCAGCTGCGGGAAAGCCAGCACCGCGCCACGTAACCCTGGGTCACCTCTCGGAGGGCCACGTCAGGGAGCAGGGTGAAAAGGCTACAGGAGACCAACCTTGGAGGCAGACCTTGAGACCGTCTACCAGCTCTTGTCCTCGATCTTGAAAGACGCAGCGAGAGAACCAGCTGTTGGGAGAAACACCGCGACCGGACCGCGGTGAGAACGCCCTTGCCTGCAGGCGGTTCCTTTCTCGCCACTGCTTCCCTCCCAGCAGCTCGTCTTTAGCCCCTTTAAAGAGGTCCCCTGGCATGTCCGGTGCTTCGGGAAACCCTGGACAGCAATGACAAGCCACTCATAACGCTACAAACCAAGCTTTCTTTCGTCACAGATCAACACAATTCCGCTGCTGAGGCGAAAGTGAAATCACAAGTAGGATACCCAGAGACACCTCCTCCCTCCCTCACACACACACACCCCCCTGTCACTCTGCTCATCAGGAGACATTCATTACAGATTTCACTCTTTTAAAAAGATAAAATACCTTAAAATATGCCGTTACTAAAGCTCACACATCAACATTCCCTCAATTTTCATCCTTTCCTATTCTTGGCAATGCTTAGTTCTAAGAAAAGCACTGAAAAGCAATTTCACTCCATCAAAACACAAGTGACTGGGTAAACTGAAGAAACGGGTTTTCCAAAATAAAGTCAACACCAAAACTTTAAGGTACGTTTCAGCAGGTCAATAAAAACTATGAGAGACCTTTTCAGAGATGGCCGCATTTAAGGAGATCCGCTCCCCACCCCCCACAGAAATCACCTATAAAACAGCCGGAAATGTGATCTGACTAGTACAGATTAAGGGCCAGGGGACAAAGTAGAAAATGGCCAGGTAGCTGTTATTCTACTTCCCTGACTTTCTTGATTATCGAATTCAGAGAAGTCAATAGGTTCAAGAGAACCTCGCAGACCCCAGAAGTCGGCCCTGCACGCACACCTCTCCTGCAGTGTCCACAGCCAACCGCCCGTCACCTGACCGCACTGACCGGGTCATCCCTTCGTTGATGCTCGCAACAAATCCTGCAATTGACCTCCGTCCAGCTGTGGTGTCATGATAACAATCGATGCCAACGATCATCGCCAGCTTCAGCTGTAACAAAAACCGTGTGCTTTCAGATAAACGGAATACCGGCAGTATTTAAAAAGTCCATTTTTGGTATACAAAGCATTCAAGCACCAATTATATCAATGAAACTTACGGGCATATCGACCCTCCAGAGCTCCCCTCCCATCTTGCAGTTCATCTGCAGGGCGATCTTGGTCGCAATGGCCATGACTGTCTGCTGCTTGCCCAGGGTCCGGGCTACCACACACTGACTTGGAGTAGGGCAATCTGTACACAAGTATTTTTTTATAGCATCGTATTTGTCTTTCCGATTACTTGACAACAGACAAACAACCTGAAAACCAAAAAACGTTCTCGTCACAGAGGATTAGGAAAGTGACGATCAAGTTCAGGGGAGAGAACAGAGAACCAAGCCCACCCGCCACGTCTCCACCATGAGCTGACCGGCGTGACGTCAGCTGATACGGTCTGCACATTCCCTTCAACCCAGTGACAGACACTCACAGAGGAAAGAAACCACGTGGAGCAAACAAGTCAAAACTGAAGGCCAAGAAAACCTGAGAACCTACTTAAACACGCTCTATTGCCAGCCTGGAGTACTTTAGGAATAAAGAATAGGGCAAAATAAGTTAGTGGTAACCTACAGGTGCACAAAAAATTTTCGAGAGACAGACAAGTGGGGGATGGGCAGAGAGAGAAAGGAGGAGACCCAGAACCCAAAGCAGGCTCCAGGCTCCGAGCTGTCAGCACAGAGCCCGACGCGGGGCTTGAACCCACGAACCGCAAGACCATGACCTGGGCCGAAGTCAGACATTTCACTGACTGAGCCACCCAGGCGCGCCATGGCTTTGAAACTTTTAAAGCTCTGGCCTGAGAACCTGATCACCCTATGAAATTTCTCAGGAAGTCCATGGACAATCCTGGGGACAAAATGGAGTGCCCAATCTAAATATGTCCCGGCCAGAAATGGGACGATGTTAGTCAAAGGGCACAAACTTGCAGTTATAAATTAAGTTCTGGGGATCTGATGTACGGTGCAGGTGACCACAGGTGACAAGGCTGTGTTATGCACCTGAAAGGTACTACAGACCAGATCTTCAAAAAAACAAAACTGTAAGTGAGGTGACAGAGGAGAGAAATCGCCCTGTTGGGATGATCAAGTGATCACGCTGTGCACGTTATGCCTTAACCCTGTCGTGATAATCGTTTCTGTGACATATACACGCGTCCAACGATCACACTGTACACCCTACGCTTTCAACTTACGCTGCTCTGTCTCCACCGTGTCTTAGAAACACTGGAAATAAAACAACCAATTCCTGCCCAATCTGAGTTTGTGTTCTAGAATTGAACGCAGACCTTTAACTCACTGTGTTTTCCTAATTTATAGTCCCCGATTCTTCTCTTTTCTCTAGTCCCCAACCAAATCACTTTGCTTTCCTAGGTGTCTCTGTTATTCCCGACAACGTAATAGTAATCTGCCTGCGGCACTTAAGTAGGAGATGAAGGGCTGGAAAAGGGAACGGATTAGTTGAAGCCAATTCACTTCTCAGGCTTGGAGCAACATACGTATGTTGTTTACCATCACACTGGTCTCTGCCACCACCCTAGCCGTACCTGTACGCATGCTCACCAACTAAGTACTGATTTTTACTTTTGTGCCTTTTCCCCACAAAATTTCCTGCAATTAAAGCCTTTTTTCTTAACATAATTTACTGTCAAATTAGCTAACATACAGTGTGTACAGGGTGCTCTTGGTTTTGGGGGTAGATTCCCATGGTTCATGGCTTCCATACATCACCCAGTGCTCCTCCCCACCGGTGCCCTCCTCGGTGCCCATCCCC